GCTTGTATTGTGTCGGCCCGGCTCACGACTATCATTCAAGCCACCGGACACCCCAATGGGACCGGTGGGTGCAGGGAAACGCCCACCCATGGGGACGCAGTGACTAAAGGGCCGGTGGGGCAGATAAGCTTAACTGCTCCACCAGGCCAAACTCTGTCTACCAGGTGCTGTTTGTTTTACGAAGACTTTCATTGTGTCGGCCCGGCCCACAACTATCATACAAGCCATCGGACACCCCAATCGGACCTGTGGGTGCAGAGAAACGCCAACCCGCGGGGGCTCAGCGGCTTAAGGGCCGGTGGAGCTTAACTGCTCCACCAGGCCAAACTCTATCTACACCGGGCGCTGATCGTCGTACGAAGACTGTGACAGGATAGGGGCACCCCCTGGATATGGGAAATTTTCTCAAACGGGCTCCCCTCCGGGCTAACGGGCACTCCTCCCCACCCACCCGACTAACGGGCACCCCCCCAATAACGCCCCCCTCCTGGTGGTTTGGGGCACTCCCCCTCAACTAACGGCACTCTCCGTCAACAACGGCCACCCCACCTCCATTCTCGGTACTCCTCTCTGCTCACGGACACCTCTTGGCGCCGTGTTCGGACGGTACAGTGCTCTGTATGTATGTATTTCCTGGACACATACAATGTATTCTTTGATCACATACACTGTACTTGTTGATTAAATACGCTAAACGCTGCATTCCCTGAGCAGATTCACTGTATTCCCTCATCAGATACAACGTATTCCCTCGCTCGTTTCACTGTATTCCATCATCAAATACATTGTATTCCCTGCTCAGGATCACGGTATTTTCTTATCCGATACACAGTGCTCGTCGTACTTTCACTGTATTCCCTGAGTAGATTTACTGTGTTCCCTCATCAGATACACCGTATTGCCTCGTTCGTTTCACTGTATTCCCTCATCAAATACACTGTATTCCCTCTTCAAATACACAACCGTATTCCTTGTATTTTTCACTGTATTCCCTAATCAGATTCAATGTATCCCTCATCAGATGTGCACGCCGTGGAAGGCAGTGAATTTGATGAAGGAATACAGTGTATCTGATGAGGGAACCCAATGAATCTGCTCTGAGAATACAGTTTATCTGACGAGGGAATACCGTGTACCTGCCCTGGGAATACAGCGTATCTGATCAGGGAATACAGTGTATCTGACAAGGGAATATGGCGATTCTGATCGGGGGATGAAGTGAATCTGATTAGGGAAACATTGTATGTGATGAGGGAATACAGTGAATCTGCTCAGGGAATACAGTGTATCTGACGAGGGAATACAGTGTGTCCCCTCAGCGAATACAGCGTGTGTGATCTGGGAATACAGCAGTGTATATCCCATGACAGCGTAGTATGTGATCAGGGAATACAGTGAATAAGACTAAAGGATACAGTGAATGTGACGAGGAAATGGCTCAGCGGCCACATATCTGCTCCACCGGCCTTTGGGCGATGGGTCCCCATGGGTTGGGCGTTTCCCTGCACCCACTGGTCCCATTGGGGTGCCCGGTGGCTTGTATGATAGTTGTGGGCCGGGCCAACACAATGAAAGTCTTCGTAAGACCAACAGCGCCCGGTGTAGATAGAGTTTGGCCTGGTTGAGCAGTTAAGCTTATCCGCCCCACCGGCCCTTTAGTCACTGAACCCCCGTGGGTGGGTGTTTCTCTGCCACCACTGGTTCGATCGGAGTGTTCGATGGCTTGTATGATAGCTGTGAGCCGGGCCGACACAAGGCAAGTCTTCGTAAGACCAACAGCACCCGGTGTAGATAGAGTTTGGCCTGGTTGAGCAGTTAAGCTTATCTGTGCCACCGGCCCTTTAGTCACTGAACCCCCGTGAGTGGGTGTTTCTCTGCACTCACTGGTTTGATCGGGGTGTCCGATGGCTTGTATGATAGCTGTGAGCCGTGCCAACACAACACAAGCCGCAGTGGGATAAACAGTACCCTTAACGAAGAGTTGGCCTGGTGGAGCAGATAAGCTTATCTGCTCCACCGGCCCTTGAGCCACTGAGCCCCCGCGTGGGGGCGTTTCTCTGCACCCACTGGTCCGATTGGGGTGGAGGATGGCTTGAATGATAGCTGTTAGCCGGGCCAACACGATGCGGGCCGATTTTAGGCGTGGTTCAGCTATGTGACGGGAGGTATAGCGGGACTACGGCCAGTTACCCCCCCCTAGATGCTGCGGAACACCCTCGGTTGACCATATCTCTGCGGGAAGATATCGGATGTGAGTGTCCGACAGCTTAGAAGAACGGCATGGACCGTGCAGACACGATGCAAAAGATTTGAGGTCAATTGGAGCGGTGTGGACGGGGGTTCGAGACGATTACTATTTCCTGACATGCTGCGGAACCCCCTTTTTCAGCATATCTCTGCAGCCACCGGTCGGATTTAGCTTGTAAGTAGCATTGCAGATAGCTGTAGTCCATACCTACACGATGCAATTGGTTTGAGGTCGATTGGAGCTCTGTGGGTGGAGATCTGCCGGGTGGAGCAAATAAGAACTTACTCCACCGGTGGAGCAGATAGCATTGCCGTATAAACACAGCACGTACCAGTTTGAAGTTAGCTGTGGTTGTTGACCCGTGTCGGAGAGAGCTCTGTGCAGGGAAGGTCTTGAAATATTCCAATACGCAGTCATCGATCATCAATGGAGTCACCGGCGCGGCGCCGGTTGGGTGTTTTGGCTCGGCCGAAACAAGAACAAGAATTGTCTATATCACCGCCGTAGTTGATCTCTCTGTATTGAATACCGTTTGCAGGGCACTAGTCCCGCCTCCATTGTGTGATGGTCCTGTCTTCGATGAAGATTTTTCTTTCACTTTTTCTTTCACTCCGCAACTAATGTCTTCACTCATCAAATGTATCGACACTTCTTCTTTTCTCTCATCTCAAACCTCGAACCACATACACTTGATATCTTCTTGCGTTCAAATCATTTCCACCTTTCTTCCGTTCTTCGGTCATGGCTGGCTCAGCTTTGCAAATGCCGTCAACACTCTCCAATGTTTTTATCCCCAACATTTCCGTATCTTTCACGTTCCAACAGAACAGTTCTCTAGCAGCCGAAGTATGTGCCTGCTCTCCAAAATTCGCAATTTTAGTGTCTGAAAAAGAAAACATGGCGGGGTGTGTGGTTGGCATCCCAAGTTGGAAAGCACCACCGGGTATAATATTTATCTCACCCAATGGGTCTTGCCTTTCTTGTCCTCTTTACACTTGGTTCGGTGAGCAATGGCAGTATCCTCTTTCACATTCTGGCCCCCTGGGCGGGGGGGCAGATATTAAACCCTGGTTCTTTGATACATCCAGCTCGGTCCCCCCTGGCAACGTCTTCCACCCGCACTCACCAGAATGGCCTTCGACGGACTCAACTCCCTCGGAAAGAGAACTGAACAAAGAGGCCGGAAGGCTCGAGGCGCTGAGGAGAGAGGCCGAAAAGTCCGAGAAGCGGGCACTAGTGTCCCAGGCACTGAGGGTAACGGCCAAAGCATTTATGCTGCAGGTGTGGGGCGGCACAGAGGGCCGAAACCAATTCAAACTTGGTAGACTCGTTGCATGATAGATGGTTACAGGTTGCACCAGTTCGGTGGGACTACCACCGGTTTGTTGTGACGAAGCTTTAGCCGTGGCAAGATGTACTGCAGCTAGGCGGCTTTCTCAGCACCAAGCACAACCCCACGACCGCAGATATTGGAGTACAAGCGAGGCAAGCTTGCGGAAAAGATTCTCAAGCAGGACGTTGTGATCGAGAAACTGCGTCATGCACACCGACAGGAACAGGCGCTCGCAGCACTAGTCAGGCAGGAGATTGGACAGGTAACATGTATTTGTCGATTCCCTTGTTGTTGTCGTTGTCGTTGTTTTTGTTGTTATTGCTGCGTATGCTGTCCCTTTGGTGCTGCTGTTGTCTTTGGTGTTGGACCGGTGGCGGCGTTTAATTGTGCACGCTCTATTTTAGTTTGCATGATCGAGGAATTGGTACAGCAACATTTCACTCGCCAAGCTAGTCGGGTTGGGCAGAAAAATTGTTTTTGATGCCCATGCTTAGGGCCGGTCTTAACGAAGGAATCGATTCTCGATTTCGAATTTGATTATAAGAATACAAGAGTCGGATCTACCCAAATCCGGACAGAAATGGCCTGTGTGTCTTAACGGGAGATCTGCCAAATGGAAACGAATCTCTGCAGTCCACCACGAACAACCCGAGAGGTCCGCCGCTTGCCGACTGCCAGCCGACTGTTGTGACGTACTGCTATGACGTGGCCACACCACATGGGGAGCTATCGCTCCCGAGAAGCACACACCAAACGCGTACATGGCCTCTGTGTGGTACTGACACGATGTCTATGCATGTGACACTTTGAATCGACCCTCGTCCGACGGAAAGCCGTGTGCATTTGAAGTTCGACAACCCACGGGAGATTGCCCCACAGACCAACACATACATCCCACACACGTTTGTTTTCGGGACCAGATGCTGGTGATGCTCCTGGTCACGCCCCCCGCCTTGCGAATAGGACATTCTTCCTCTACTGCTCTTGCGCAACAAGGTGCCCCACCGTGGGTGTGCCTGTGCGCACTCCGTGCTGGATTGGTGTCGCGGCTTGGTGTGGCGCCTTGGCACGGCACTACTTTCTTTGCGTCAGTGCGTCACTTGCCGTCGACTGGACCGCTAATGTTCGAAGTTGGTTTCGTTTCACCCAATATCGGCGAGACCTTAGGTCCAGAGCATCCCGATGTGGCCCAGTCGCTCAACAACCGGGCGGAGTTATCGAGAGCGCAGGCAAGAGTCGAACAATACCCCTCGATTCCATAGATTCTCCCTTGGGTCGGTGAATTATGTCGCACCCGGGGTACGACTACCTTGTTCATTAACCGTAATTCGTTTTTGCAGGGCAACTACGACGAGGTGGCACCGTTGTATCATCGGTCGCTGGCCATACGAGAGAAGACCTTGGGTCTGGAGCATTCTGATGTGGCGGAGTCGCTCAATAACCGGGGGTTGTTGTTGCAGGCGCACAGGTGAGAGAATCCCACAATACTCTTGGATTCCGTATTTCTCCATGAGTCGGTGACTTGGTTCGCATTCGGGGTACCATTCCCTTATTCACCAACTGTGCAGGGCAACAACGAGGAGGCAGATCCTTTGTATCAACGGTCGTTGGTCATGCGAGAGAAGACCTTGGGTCCGACCATCCGGATGTGGCGGAGTCGCTCCACAACCGGGCGCGGTTGTTACAGAGTCAGGTACGAGCTGTGAGAATATTCCTGGTTTTTTTATCTTCTGGTTCCCGATGAATATCAACACATGTCTGTGTTCGTGGTGAATTCTTAAACAAGTTGGTTCTTGCGTTTCGATGAGTTTTGTTGTACAGTCTCCTTTGACCACTACCTTTTTCCACCACATCAGTTATTTTTCTGCCTGGTGACCGAGTCGGTGCTTACGTTTGTGTCGTTTACATTTGTTTTTCGCGCATTGGATTAAATGTTGTATTATTGCCGCATCTCAGTGTCGCAGGGCAAGCACAACGAGGCACTTCCACTTCTGGAGAGGGCGTCCTCTATCCGTGGGAAGAAGCTGGGGGAGAATCACCATTACACGGTCGACACACAGATCAGCCTGGAGCGTGTGCAGAAACATGTTCGTGAACGAGAGACTAACACGGGGTCGATAGGCACAAGACACCTCGAGGAAGCGTGGTACTCGTGAAAATGCTTCGTTCCGTGTTGCCGGTGTAACGGGCCAGGGTGAAGCACCAGGTCGAAGACGCTGCCTGTGCAAGAGGTCACCGTTGAAGCGACGAAATACTGTCGGGGCCAAGCCCTTAGGGCAGCGTGCGTCTTGTTGCACAGGAAGTAATATTTTTTTGTTGAAGTTCTCGTCGTTGGTGGTGAAATAGTTTTTTCTTAAACCTTGGCCATTCCGTGGAACGTTCCGGAAGTTCCGGGACCGTTTTTGTAGGTTACTAGACAACGACGAGCAGCCCCCGTCCTGGTGGAACTTTCTCATTCAAGAATATTTTCATTTTGCACCAAAATCCCAACCAGATACTTTAGTTCTACCAGCGCGACCATGTGTTTTCACCTCCCATGCATGGGTTTATCAACATTACACCCCGGACACACTCAACTCTCCTACCCATCTGTCACTGCTCGTTCGTTGGACACCCTGCTGAATGCAACGACTCAACTTCTCGTGGTGAACCTCGCGGCCGTCTGAAACGCTTGAACGCGAACACAAAATCAGGAAGCGGCGGCAGACGACGCACAATGTTCCAGTATGACCCCTGTGATCGATTGATTTCCTCTGCTTTGCGTGTCGCGCCTTTCATGCCCTCGACCCAGAAGGCACGTTTCAACCTGTTCATATGAAGATTACTGCGGTGCAGGGTGGTGGACGTCCTCAGATTGCTCTCGCGACAGTCTAGGGCGATGCCATTAAGGTGCTCGACGTACTCAAAGCCGTGCTCGTCGGGCGATCCTGTCACCTGAAGCAGCCACCGATGAAACAGGGTAGACTGACTGCCAGGCTTTTTGCACCATTGGGCACGAACTGGATAGTTGTGGCTGAGGACACTGTATGAATGCTCACAGACTGCTTCAAGACACAGCCCGCAAGTCCTTGACGCTTGCTTCCTTCCCGACACAGCCCACGCACAACCATGCCCCTCACCTTCGTATCCGTCCACGTATACTGTCATGATGCGTACCAGCACTTCCTTTGTAGAGTAACGGCCAGAGAAGTGCGCGCGAACACCGAGAAGCGTACGAGTGGTGGAGTAGGGCTACTCCACTCTGGCTGACACGGGCTGAACATCTAGAACACCGCTTTTCTGGAAGAAGTTTCGCTACAGTTGGGCCATTTTGTCCCGACTCTAGGTCGGCGCCACACCGGTGGCCACTCGGCTACCCCTGGGGGACCCTTGGCAGGGGGTTTAACCCCTGCAGGCACCCTGTGGGGGGGTTGTACAGGGTTCGGAGCGATGCCAACGTCAGAGCCTGGACCTTGGTAAGGTGTTGTCCATTGGTGGGGTCCATGGCGTTTACCTTGTACATGCCCGACACCCTGTCCGGTATTCTCGGTGATGCCCCGACAGGGTCGTGAAGTAAACAAGGTGAACACGTGGACCCTCGCAAGGTGCTAGGCCTTGCTGGGGTTACCCCTCATGATCCTGCTGCACGCCCATCACCTTGTACGGGGTATCTCGTGGGACCTTGTCAGAGGAACGGTTGCTACAAGGTAATGTGTTAGGCCTTGGAAAGGTGAAGGGTTCGCACAGGGTTTAAAACGGGGACCTTATGTGCTATCCCTCCCCGCCCCCTTTACGGCGTGGTCAAT